AGTTTCTCGTCGATTTGGTGACAGAAAATTTCTTACACCTCTAAGCCTTCTCTCTAGAAGAAGGAACTTCAAATGATCAGCAACTGTCTGCAGAACATTACACTGCCGTTTCAAGTTCCCCTTTTAAGAAAAAGGGTTTTCTTTATTTCCGCTAAAAACTTCGTATTTCTTCTCGTCCATCACCCAAGGGTTTAAAATTCAGTCTTCCGTGAGAAAAAAGATGGTGGCTGTACATGTTACCTCCTTACTTTGTAAACCTAGCACAGCCCATTAGGCACAAGGAAAGCCATATTTTTGCATTATTTGTACCTGTACTAACGGCATTGTGTATGGTAGGTTTGAAGGTTTTAGAATTGCCCTGTACGTTTTTATGAAGGTTTGTAAGGGGTTTTGTGCGCTAAGAATTATGGATAATTGTACCAGTCGCCATCTTTTTTTCTTGTAGAGGATTCATTTGTGATCTTGAGCTTCTTTAATTTACCTCAGTAATTAAATGACTGAGCAAATTGCATCATTGTGATCGGCTGAGACCAAGTAAATGTATCGGGAATTCTTAATTTGTACTGCAGTGCAGATTAACACAGGCGCATTCGTAATTTCTCAGTCATCTTAACCTTGTGCAACCATACGATTACCTATACTTAGTTATTTGTTTTATTTGTTCAGGAAAAACTTGATGGCCTACTCAAGACATTGGTGCAAGCACAGCCGACATTTGTGAGATGTATCAAGGCAAGTCTTGCATGGTCATTTTCCACGCCTCTTTTCGCGGTGTCCGAGTTGGACTGAGTTTCAATTTCAGTTAGAGTTTAAATTTGAGTTTCCTTCTGTTTACAGATAAATACCCGTGAAGAGCCGTATGCTTTTGACCGTGGAATAGTCAGTCAGCAGATTCGAGTGTTGCAGATTTTTGAAACTCTTCAACTTCTTCAGTCAGGTAAATGAAGGCTTGTTAAAGGGGCTACGTCACGATTTGCGCATCTTGAAAAGCTTAGCTTAAATTTTTCAAGTTCCTCGTTTGTAATCCGTGTTAATCTTCTCCATCCTTGTTCCTTTATGGTTTATTATTTTCTCTTTGGTGCATTTCTGTCTTACTAAACTACTATTTTCAGGTTTCCTTCAATTTAAAGGTAATTTTGTACGTGGCAAGATCTTAAAATACTGTGACTGAGCTCCTTTAGTATTATTACAGAGCAATATTATTATTTAGTTTGTCTGCCGTAAAACCAATCCCTTTGCCAAGTCACAGCGATTGTAAATAGTCTAACTTAATAAGCCAATCGCAACTCGAGGCAAAATCCTGCAACCGGCGACAAGCGCGGGAAAACGCACGTAATCCAGTTCACGATTGGTTTATTTTAAATCGTGCGTCTGATTGGTTGAAAAGACAGCATGTTTGCTCTGATTGGTTATATCCTGTTGTATGAATTTTTAGACTTATTCTAGGTTTCAGAAATGTAAATTTAGCAAACACGACATCACTATCGAGATAATCCTTTGTGGTATTTCAATTTTGAAAGTAAAATTTATTATTTATTGAACAGAATGATATATAATCTTGCAGGGCTTGCTAATCGCTCTCGGCTTCAAGCATTTGCCAGAAAGTATAGCTTTGTCTCGCCGCGTAAGGTGCGGGCTCAGGAGGAGACTGGGTACGAGGATTGCAAAGTCATTTTAGAGACGCTGATGAGGAAAATTGACAGATCGAAGAGTGACGTCATGTTTGGCGCGTGGGTACTGGGCAAGAGATTCGTCTTTTACAGGTAACGTGTTGTGTTTAACTTCGTTGCTGAAGGCCCCGTCTACACTACGTCGGTGAAATTTGAGACCGGAGGTTTCACTCTGAAAACGCGTTTTTTGTCCACACTACGCCAGAGAAATTTGAAAACGTAGCAATCACCAGTCATTTTGGATTTGTGTTTGAGAAAGCAGACGATTATCGTGACCCCACCGTTTTCGTAAAGCTCCGTTTTCAAAATGTTTTCCGTCCACACGAAAACGAAAAGCCAGCCTATTCAAATTCCATTGGTTTGAAGAGCGTTTTCGAAAAGCTCCGTTTTCGTGACGGATTAGTGTGGACGGTAAACTTAACGGTAGAAATAAATCTGCGTTTTCAAAGTCCTCCTAGTGTGGACGGGGCCGTAGTCTCCTTGTACTGTAGCTCTGTGTTGATTGAATTAAACCTGCTCGAAAACTGACAGTAACCGGTTTTTGATTTTTGGTACTGAACACATCTTCATTGGGTGTTTGCTGTGCTTTTCTTTTCGTTTTTATGTTTTTATTTGTTAATCAATGTAATTTAGACAGTTTAAGATATTTACAATGCGCGAAACAATGTAAATCTGGAAAAAAATCTGGGATACAAACGGAATCCCTTAGTTTTGCCTTTCACAATCTCCCTGTGCTTGCCAAGTTAACCTGAATGCCATCTGTTCTATTAAATCCTGTGTTAGTTTGACTTGTGCCCTTTGATTTATCGTATTTTTTTCGTTACAAACCATTATTTAGAGGTTTTAGCCAAGTTGTAGACCCTGATAATGAGATGTTGTCTTTTCCCATTGCAGTGAAGTGGTGAAACAGGAGTTAGAAACCCTTCATGAGATGCGGAAAGTGAAGGCGGCTGTCACGATCCAGTGCTGGGTCAGAAGATGGATTTGTTACAAGAGATGGCCGAGCCTAAAGCGTTCACTTGAACTGCAGAAAAAAGCTCGACACGGCGGCAACAAAGTGAATCATAAGTGAGTAGTATACCGATGAAGCAGTACGCCCTTAAAATGTACAGCTCAGTTTACCCTTTGGGTATTACGGAAATTCGGCCATAAAGGTGGACTAACGACAAGTCAGGTGGAGGCGCGGTGGCCTCATGGTTAGTGCGCTCGCTTCTGGATCAAGCGGTCCAGGTTCAAGCCTTTGTGTTGTGTTCTTGGGCCAGACCTTTTACTCTCACAGTGCCTCGCTTCACCTAGGTGTATATATGAGTACCAACGAATTTACTGCGAGGGCGTAACGTAACTCTGCGATGGACTAGTATTCCATCCAGGAAGGAATANGGGGGGACTTGCTTTATGTTGCAGAAATCGGAGACACTTGGCTCGTTTTTACCACAAGTCAACCCTCGCCTAAACCAATTAACAGGCAAGAAAGTATTATTGGAAAAGACTTTTAGAAAGTTAACCATGTAGACAATTAGAGAATATTTCCGGGATTTAGTCAAGAGAAAATAACAAAAGGATGTTTGATACCTTTCATATGGTTCACTTGCCGAAAATAACATAATAATTGATCGCACGTTTTCCAGTGTTTCTATTCTTTTCTCCTAAACTGTTGCTTGTTTTTGTCGTACTGATATATTTAAACCTCAAAGTAAAGATTCCTATTTTTCAAATCCTTAGCCATGTTCGTAGATCAGTATCACCGTCGGATGAACTTCGGGTGGACACGAAGACAGCCGATCAGACGTGCTGTCTCTACGGACTGGACATGGTAAGTTGGACACTATCACTACGGAGTAAGTTGGGATAAACAGATACCTTTTTTGTTCACGAAAAGCGGAATGCTCGTGAATGGTCGAGGTATGTTTTTGGTTTGGTTCAAAAAAATTACACTTGTTTTTCCGCAGGATTGTCTTTTGGTCAGAAATGGTTCGAAACTGAATATTTGTGAATCCTCTCTTCGCAGGAAACTCCGCCTCCTTTGCCCAAAAGCCGGCCATACACTGTGATGGGTAACATGAAGATGGGATTCCCACAGACTCGCATCATGAAATTTGATTACCCAGGTGAGTCAGCAGTCCGTTGCAAAAGGGTTTGTGAAATGCAAGTAGCGTGTTGCTAGAGCAGTTTTCAATTGAGTGTCGTAGAACCAAAACCAAAGTAATCACTCTGGCCAATCACAAAGAACACAGACAATCCAGTGGACCAATCAAAACTCGGAGTAAATACGTGTGGCTGACGCGAAGCGCGGGAAAACGTGTGCTTGTGGTTTTACTTCTGATAGGATGGAAAAGTGGCGCGGGTTTTTTAAGCCAATCGCGTAGCGTAGTAATGCAAAACCAATTACTTTTCGACGCGCTAAACACGTGGTTTTTGTGTTACCTTGTGGTACGAATGCCTACCGCCTCCTTAACCTTAAAGTATGAATTCGTTTTGCGGGAACGTTGGTCTCGATGTGGCGTTATAAGGACGTGCGAAGAGGGGAGGGGGGAGTATTCCCTTTACGCAAAAAACCCTCCAGTCCTGCTATATACCAGCATCCTATGGTGTTGCTAGATGTATGTGTTTTTAAACTCCTCACGTACGTGTACCACTCTTGTCTGAGATGTTACCTTGTCATAATACATTTTGTATAGGGATTTAGAGAATTCTGGCCTTTTTGACACCCTGTTGAGTTTAACGTACCGTTTTGTCAACAATATCCATACATTTGAACCTCTCTGTGCAAACGTTACCGGTTACACCTCCTGTAAGCGACCACTTTTCCAAAATATCAAAATTCTGCATATCAATGCACTCTGGTTGGGACCTTCCGTAAGGTAAAACCTCTCAGAGACGATCGCGAACATCTTAACACTGCTAGATTAAAACAGAGATATCATCTTGATACACCACTAAATTCTCAGAACCTCCATTAAAGCAATTGTGTGGCGGCTAGTAACAAGAGTTAGTCTTTTTATTTCTTTTGCACAAATGAAGGGCTAAGGCTTGAATCATCGCTTCTAATTGATGATTAATTTCGTGTTTCTCCTGTCCACGTCGCAGCAGGACAGTTTACAAACTCTTTGTTTTGTTCACTGAAAGAGTTGGACGACATTAAACAAGGGGTGGGGTACATTACTTGCGGAAAATTTCAGACACTTGTCTTACTTCGGACAAATTTCGGACACTTTGCTGAAACACCTACGCCTACAAAGCACGTTTTAGACTTAAACAACGTCTGTGGAAATGATAGTTTTATTGCACCTCCAAGGTTTTACAGACGCACCGACGGGAAAATAAGAAAAGTTCTTTCAAGTCGTTACGTATCTAAAGCAGTTTCTGAACTACAGCTCGCTCCATAAAGAAAACTAGCGGCTTTGGAGCTTTAAACGTTTCATACTGTACTGTAAATATGTCAGACGCTTAGAATTTCTAACGCTTAATAATTTCGGACGCTCTTCTTTTGGAACACTGTTTTGTCCGAAATTAAAATTGTCCGATGTATAACTTGTGATCATGATGATATTGAACAGCTACGGACATTGTTATCTTGTCTGTTACAGATGACGGCAGCGAGGTTCTCCTGAAGAAAGGAGAAGCGGTAAAAGTGATTCGAGCATCCGAGAAGCGAGGGTATCTTGTTGTGGAACACAAAAGTTCGACTATTCACTTGCCATTTCAAGTCATGGAGCTTAAGGTGCGATTTCTATGTTTGTTACTTTTACTTCGAAATGTTTCGCGTAGCCTGAGTTGCAGGCGCGGGAATTTCGTTTCTCTCGCG